ACACACACACACACACACACACACACACACACACACACACACATACATACATACATACATACACACACACTTCCTTGAGTAGATTTGAAGACGACTTGCAAAAATGTTCTTATCCATACTAGATTGCCAGGGGAACAGAGAGAAAGAAATGGTAAACGGTCTAGACCTATCCCCTGTCTCTCGGGTATTTATATAAAAGAATGCTCGTGACTCCACTTGATACAATTTTGTCTGGTAATTGGAATAGCTAGCACCTCTTCGATAGAAAAAACACAGACACCACTCACCATGTCGATACAAACGAATGCGTCTGTTCTCCTTGAGAGTCGAACCGTAGACCTGCGAGGCATCGATGAAAGCGGTCAACATATTCATTTGTTCTCTGGGTTCTTTTCGTGCCCCTGTGAACGAATAACCATGAACAGATAGTATTGTAAACGTAATCAACACATATAAAATTGTATTGAATATGACTTTATGACTTATTCTTGTGGTATTTCGCGTTAAGATTACCATTAACTAGCCAAATCGACCTAAGTGGCAAAGAAATTCAGTGTATAAGCTAACAAAAGTGGCATGGATTCGTCTAACAGTCACAATGGCTTCACAAGATAACAGTGCAAAGCACAGTACCAAGAGAGAGAAAGAGAGGCAGACAAAGAAAGATAATGACAAGGGGACAAAAACCAAGAATGAACAGGTCAGAATCAAAGCGAACCATGGACAAATTCGGAGACCTGAGCGAGATGGTGGGAGTCGGCGCCAAGTTACCTAAGTTACCCGAAGGCTGAAAAAAATTAACAATTAAATACGTGCCGCTCATAAACTCCACTGAATGAAGCCCACCATCGTAAAAATGGAGTGATTTTGTTCGCTAGGGTTTCAGAACTAATACCCCAGCTTCTAAAATGACCTACCCTGAGTCGAGCAGAGTAATAAGTCGCTACTTTAAACTTGCGAAGTTCTATCTGACATTTTTGGTCTTTTTGAGTTAATACGACCATAAGTTTGTAAACTAAATGCTCTTTCTGCTTTATCAAAATCGTAAGATTAATCGGAGTCGTTATCAAGATATTTAAATAAATTGCATTAAAACAGCTTGACATGTGAAGCTAAAAAGTTTTTACGTCAAGTTTCTCAAAACTAGGTTCTAAGCAGATAGAATATTGTAATTCTAATACGGAGTGCCCACTACGGCAGAGATCGGGACCGATCGCCCGACTCGATCGCCTCCAAAAAAAAACCTGTTTGTTTTCAGTTTCAGGCGATCGAGTCGGGCGATCGGCCCGATCTAGTTGTGGTGGGCATCTCGTATAAGGTAGCGAAGTGTGTGGGGTTTTTTAAGACGCAAATAAATATAAAATTACTCACTGGGGTTGCAGTCACTTTTCCTGGGCGAGGCCTGGGAGCGTGCAAAGTTCATGCAAGAGTAGCGGAAGTGTCGGTCCAAGGGAGGGATGTAAATAGGATTGCATGGTCCTCTGAGAGGAGAGGGGGCGTAGAGAAAGGGGAGGTGAGCATAAAACACTTAATAATAATAATAATAAGAAGAAGAAGAAGAAGAAGAAGAAGAAGAAGAAGAAGAATA